CAGCAGCAACAGCAGCAGCAGCAGCAGTATCAGCAGCAGCAGCAGCAGCATTCACCCTGGGTGATCAGCAGCAGCATCATCATCATCATCAGCAGCAGCAGCAACAGCAGCAGCAGCAGCAGTATCAGCAGCAGCAGCAGCAGCATTCACCCTGGGTGACGCTTCTAAACCTTTCATGTCCTGCTGTATCCCAGATCTGCGCCTTCACAATTTTGTCTCTTATCTTCAGCATCTTCGTTTTAAAGTCGATGCCCACTGTAGACCGCACCCCCATCATATGACGCCCCCCATAAGGGTGGGGGCCCCCCTGGGGGCCCCCCTGTGGGCTCCCTTGGGGGCCCCCCTGTGGGCTCCCTTTGGGGCCCCCCTGTGGGGTCTCCTGGGGGCCCTCCTGTGGGCTCCCTTTGGGGCCCCCCTGTGGGGTTTCCTGGGGGCCCCCCTGTGGGGTCCCCTGGGGGCCCCCCTGGGGGCCCCCCTGTGGGGTCCCCTGGGGGCAGTCTTTGTTTTTCTTGTCTTTAATGGGGGAGCCTTCTTGGTGGCTGCTGTGGGGCCCCTCTCTTTGGTGCTTGTTAGAGGGGCCCCTAGCCCTGGGGGCCCCGTGACGGGGGCCCCCAGGGGGCCCCTCAACAAAACGCAGCAACATGCTGCTCTTTCCGACGCCACTATCACCTGAGAAAGAAGAGAGACACCTTTGATGAGGGTTTAGGGTTTAGGGTTTAGGGTTTAGGGTATAGGGTTTAGGGTTTGTGGGTCTGAAGGAGTACGGGGGAAAGAAACTCAATGGAAGAGACAGATGAGGGTTTAGGGTTTAGGGTTTAGGGTTTAGCAAAGAGCGGGAGGCGAAGGCTAACTACAAAAAACAACACACAAGGAAGATAGAGACAGAGAGGAGACAGAAAGGAGACAGCAAGGAGACCTAAGGGAGGCAGCAGCAGCACCAGCAGCAGCACCAGCAGCAGCACCAGCAGCAGCACCAACAGCAGCAGCAACAGCAACAGCAGCGCCAACGGCAGCAGCTGCACTAACAGCAGCAGCGCCACTAACAACACATCAGCAAAAGCAGCAGCAACAGCAGCAGCAGCAGCAGCAGCAGCAGCCTTGCCTATGAGTATGATTTTTAGTAGGTAGTCATAAGCCAGGGCCGACTGTCTCCTCGATCCCCCCATTACTGTCTCTACAGCAAACGCCACAGCATCAGAGGCAGCCATCTTCTCTTGCTGCTGGTGTTGCTGCTGGTGTTGCTGCTGCTGCTGCTGCTGCTGCTGCTGTTGCTGCTGCTGCTGCTGCAGGCGCGGGCCTTTGAGCCCCTAAGAAACCTAAGTTTTTTCTTCGCTGTCTGATCCTGCTGGGGTGCGTTAAAGAGCAGAGTCTGCATGCAGAGCCCTGGCGAGCGTGCTGCTGCTATTACTGCTGCTGCTGCTGGTGCTGGTTATTGCTGCTGCAGCAGGGGCTGCAGCAACGCCGGCAGAAGACCAGCGGTCTGTCAGGGGCTACAGCTTAGCAGCAGCAGCAACAGCAATTAAGCAGCAGCAGTAGTAGCAGCAGCAGCTGTTGCTGTTGCTGCTTCAGGGGAAGAGTTCTCTGGGGCCCCCTTAGTGTATGAGCAGCAGCAGCAGGGCCCCCGGGGGCCCCCCGTTAGCTGGGGGCCCTAAAGACAGCAGCAGAAGGAGACAGAAGGGTTGTTTGGTTGCGACTGAGTTTAGGGGCGTAGAGGCAACTCAACAGAAGGAGACAGAAGAGACAAAAGCAAAGAGAAGGGAAACAGCGCAGAGCTGCTGCTGCTGCTGCTGCTGTTGCTGCTGCTGTAGCTGGCTACTGCTGTTTTTGTCTCCCGCCTTTCGCTGCTGAGAGGAGACACATGCCTCCTAACACTTTTAATGAAATACAAATAATAAGAAGAAGCAAACAGAACACTTTATTCTAGCCTCAGCAGCAACAGCAGCAGCAGCAGCAGCAGCAGCTGCTGCTGCTGCTGTTGCTGCAGCAACAGCAGCAGCAACAGTCGCGCCGAGACCGCTGGGGCCCCTTTGTGTGTGTCTTCCATGCGTGTGCAGTCTCCTTCTTTATTTTTTCATGCTTAAAACTTTAATTTTGTTTATTTAAATTTAACTGTCTCTATTTATATTACCTCTGTCTCCTTTGCCGCTCCCTATACCTTCTTCTGGGGGCCCCCCTCTCGCCTGCTGCTCGCCTCTGGGGGCCCCCCGCTGCCTTCTTCTGTATCCAGACCTTAGGGGCCCCCCTAATATATATTTTTAATTTATATTTTATTTTATTTATTATGCTTGAGGCCCCTCTACTGCAAAAAACAGCACTCAAACAGCAGACATAGGGGGGCCCCCAAAAGGAGACAATGCAATTCGGAGACAGTCTCCTTATCTCCTCAAACGAGTGGCTTCAACAGGCGACTGTTGCTGCTAATGAAGATTTAGGGGCCCCCAACAACCCTCAGCAACAGACTGATGCCCCTGTAGGGCTTCAAGGGGCCCCAGAGGGGCCCCCAAGGGTCTTAGAGGGGCCCCCAGGGGCCTCAGAGGGGCCCGCAGGGGTCTTAGAGGGGCCCCCAGGGGTCTTACAGGGGCCCGCAGGGGTCTTAGAGGGGCCCGCAGGGGTCTTAGAGGGGCCTGCAGGGGTCTTAGAGGGGCCCGCAGGGGTCTTAGAGGGGCCCGCAGGGGTCTTAGAGGGGCCCGCAGGGGTCTTAGAGGGGCCCCCAGGGCCCACAGGGGCCTCAGAGGGGCCCCCAGGGGGCCCCTGGACCCTGGGGGGGGCCCCCAACGCTGAGATTGTCGATAACCCTCTCTGTGCTGTCTCCTCTCCACAGGCTGCCTGCAGTCTTGTTACTTCGGGGGCCCCTGTTGTGAGTGGGCCCTTTGCTGCACCGCTGGAGGCAGATGGGGGCTTGGGGGCCCCCTACTTTGAATCTTTATCGGGTGGGGATATTCAGGGGCCCATAGAAGTAGGGGGCCCCATTGGGGCCTCTTTGGGGCCCTTTGCTGTCTCTGAAGAGGATTGGTTTAAAGCGAGCCTTGCAGAGCCCCTGTCTCCTCCTGCCTTAGGGGCCCCTCTAGGAACTGCCTTGGGGGCCCCTATGGGGGCCCCTGTAGGGCAATATCTCTTAGATACCCCCTCTGGGGGCCCCCCTGGGCCCTCTATGGGGGCCCTTCCAAGCAGCAGTTTGCTGGGGTTTGCGTTTGAGAGCCCTATGAGTTGTCTCGAGCCCGTCGGAGGGGGGCCCCTAACGCCCACCCTTGGGGCCCCTGAGGGCCCCCCAACATCAACCCTGGGGCCCCCAGGGGGGCCCCCAATAACCACCGTTGGGGTCCCAGGGGGGCCCCTAATGCCCACCCCGGGGGCCCCTGTAGGGCCCCTAATGCCCACCCTGGGGGACCCTCAGGGCCCCCCAACGACCCCCTTGGGGGCCTCTGGGGGGCCCCTTATGACTGCCCTGGGGGCCCCTCTGGGGCCCCATGCTCTTGCGATCCCTGGGGAGCCCTTGGCAACCACCCTGGGGGCCCCTACGGACCCATCAATGAATACTGTGGGGTTCAGTGTGGGGCCCCCCGCTCTAGGGCCCCCTGGGGGCCCTCTAGGAACCTCCCTGGAGGCGCCTGGGGGCCCTCTAGCAACCTCCCCGGGGGGGGCCCCTCCGGTTGCTGCTGCACCTGGAGGAGCATCTGCTGCTAAGGAGACAGAAGCCGTTGGTGACGAGGGCAAGGCCCCTGCTGCTGCTTCTCTTAGGGGCCCCATTGTGAAGGGGGCCCCTATGAGGCGCGGGCCCAGGCAGCTGCCCGGGGAGGCCCCTGAGGGGGCCCCTCAGCAGCAGCACAACCGGAAGGGGCCCCCCTGTGCTGCTGCTGCAGCATCTGCTGCTCCCCTAAAGGAGACAGAACAGAAAAAGGAGACACCAAGAATATCGCAAGAGACTCTTCTTCCTGCCTGCTGCTACGTAGAGCCGCTCCCTAGAAGCTTTCTACAGGGCCTAGGTAAGCATAGGGGCCCTTAAAGAGGGTTCAGGGGCCCCCACGGAGGAGGCCAGGGGGCCCCCCAGGGCTGCACACAGCAAAGGCCTTGCGGCCCTCTCCAGCGCTTCTCTTTTGGGGGCCCCACCAAACCCTAAGGGACCCCCAAGGGGGCCCCCAAAGAATTCCCTGTCTTGTGTTGTCTTAAGGTGTTGAGTTGAGGGGGAGTCAGCAAGCATAGACACCTCAGTAGACTGCATGCATGCATGCGTGCATGCAGTAGATAGTATGAGTGTAGCAGTTAGACTGCATGCATGCATGCATGCATGCATGCATACATGCATGAACAGGTGTATGCATGCATGCATGCATGCGTGCATGCATGCAGGGCTGGAGGCACCTCTTGGTATTGAGGAGACACTTGCATATGAAGCAGCGGTGCGGGGCAACTGTCTCCTGTGGCTGCCGCTGAAGAGAAGAACTGTCTCCTTAGTGCCGGGTTTAATTGTTTATACTTTCTTACAAAACATTGCTGTCTCCTCTCAACTTATTGTCTGTCTCTCCCCCACAAATAAGGGGGCCCTTCGTCTCCAAGAGTCTCTTCAAGAGGCACTGACTTTCCTGTACCCTCATCAGCGCGGCTGCGGGGGCCCCCACTGTACACCCGACCAAGAGGGGGGCCCCTATAAGGGCCCCTATGGGGGCCCCTATGGGAGCCCCTATGAGGGCAGCAATGAGGGCCTTTATGGGGGCCCCAATGGGGGCCCCTGTGGGCCCTATGAAGGCCCCTATAAGGGCCCCTGTGGGGGCCCCTTTGACGGCCCTTATAGGGGTCTATATAAGGGCCCCTATGAGGGTCCCTATAAGGGCCCCTATGGGGGCCCCTATGGCGGCCCCTATGGGGGCCCTTATGGGGGCCCTTACGGGGGCCCCTATGGGGGCCCCTATAAGGGCCCTTATGAGGGGCTTCGCGGGCTGGTGACGCGGCTTTGTCCCTCAAAGGGTACGAAGGAGACAGCAGCAGCAGATAAAAAAGAGAGACACTGGCAGCAGACGCATCTGCAAGTAAGATGGGGGGCCCCAGCCACTTGGAAGACCTACATTAGAGATTTAAAGGCCTTTACTGAGGCCCTCAGGGATAAAGCGGGGGTACGTGGGGATGCTGCTGCTGCTGCTGCTGCAGTGCTTCTGCTGCTGCTGCTTCTGCTGCTGCAATGCTTCTGCTGCTGCTGCAATACGTAGCAGCTCTCTCCCTGTTCTGGGTGCCTGTCTCCTCTATTTGCTCTATATATATAATCTATAATACATATATATAATCTATAATATATATATATATATATATTATATTTTTTGTAGAAGCCTGCACTTGTTCTTTATCTCAGTGAGTGCTGCACTGTCTCCTTGTTTGTCTCTTTGTTGTTTACTTATTTATTTGTTTGTTTGCTGTTTATTTATTTATTTATTTATTTATTTATTTTTCTGTTTATTTGTTTATTTGTTTGTTTGCTTATTTATTTATTTATCTGTCTGTCTATTTATTTATTTATTTATTTATTTATTTACCTATTTATCTATCTCTCTGTCTCTTTATTTATATATTTGTTGATATTCTATTAACCCCTACAATGTAAGGAGACACAAACGCAGAGACACAGAGGCCAGCAGAGTCTTGTCTCCTTCCTCGCTTCGATGCTGCTGCTGTTGCTTCCGATGCTGCTGTTGCTGCTTCTGCTGCTGCTGCTACTGCTACTGCTGCTGCTGCTGCTGCTGCTGTTGCTGCTGCTGTTACTTCTGCTGCTGCTGCTGCTGCTGCTGCTTCTGCTGCTGCTGCTGCTGCAGGTTTCGTGGCCTCCGCATACACCTGAAGAGAGACAACAGTTAAATTGGTATCACCCGCTCGCCCCCTTTCGCTTCGCTGCTTCTCAAGCAGAGGCATTGCAGTGTCTCTCTCGGGGAGACAAGGGCCCCCAGTACCCTATTGGGGGCCCCCTTAGGGGCCACCCCTGGCCCCTTGGCTGTATAGGCACCCCTGCTGCTGCTGCTGCTGCTGCTGCTGCTGCTGCTGCTGCTGCTGATGGGTCCTGCTGCCCCTGGGAGGGAAGGATCCCTTCAAGGGAGGCCTTTGTGCATTGGCCTCGCGTGATTGTCTCCTCAGTGTCTCTGTTTGTCCCTTTATTAATGCATGGATATCTTCAGCTTGATGATGTATCGCTGCTGCTGCTGGATGGAGTTGCCTGCAGCAGCAGCAGCAGCAGCAACAGCAGCAGCAGCAGCAGCGGGGTGGAAGGGTATGATTGTCTCTTAAAGCACTTTCTTCCTCGCGCTGTGTCTCCTCCTCGCATTGTCTGTCTAACGGAGACTCCCTTTATTGGTCTGCACCGCTGGGGCTTCAAAGATATTAAAAAAGAATTTAAGTGTCTCCTCAGCCTTCTTCGCTGTCCCTCCTTTATCTTAGCCGAGGCCCTTGGGGGCCCAGGGGGCCCCCCAACTGTAGATATCATACGCTTCTCCCCGCAGCACGCCCCCTACTGGACTGCAGCAGAAGTTGCTGCTGCAGCAGAACAAGCAGCAGCAGCTTGTACTTCTGCTGCTGCAGCAGCAGCAACAGCAAAAGAAGCTGCAGCAGCTTCTACTTCTGCTTCTGCTGCTGCAACTGCAGCAGCAACACTACCACCAAGTAAGGGGCACACAGCAGAAACGTCTGGTTTATTCTCTGCTGAGGAGGGGCCCCCCTGGGGGCCCCTTGGGGGGCCCCCCTCCCAACAGCTCTTCAGTGACACCGTACGCCGTCTGCTGTCTATCTGCAACAACTTCTTTATGCATGCACTCAAATCCAGAGGCCGCCTCGAGTTGGTAGGGCCCCCAGGGGGGCCCCCTAAGGGCTCTTCAACAGGGGGGGCCCCTGGAAAGGGGGACCCTCAGAAGGGGGCCCCTGGGGGCCCCCCAACTAGCGCGTTGCAGGAGACAGCTTCGTCCTCCCTCAGCCCCCCTGTGGAGACAGCCGATGAAGACCGAAGAGATGCAAAGGGGCCCCTGGGAGAGGGGCCCCTTAGAGAGGACCCTTTAAAAGAGGGGCCCCTTCGAGAGGGGCCCCTAAAAGGTGGGCCCCCAAAAGAGGGGCCCCATAAAGAGGGGCCCCTAAGCGGGGAGCCCCATAATAAAGGGGGGCCCCCAAGTGATGGGCCTCAAAAAGAGGGGCCCCTAAGTGGGGGGCCCTTAGAAGAGGGGCCCCTAAGTGGGAGGCCCCTGGGAGAGGGGCCCCTAAGTGGGAGGCCCCTGGGAGAGGGGCCCCTAAGTGGGGGCCCCCTAGGAGAGGAGGGAGAGGACCCTTTAGTGCGAGGGGTATTGAAGGAGGTGGGGGCCCACGTCTTTGTGAAGATGAACAGCTTATGTTTGGAGAGGGTTTGTTGTTTGCTGCCGCTGCAGCAAAAAGAAGAAGCTGCTTCGAGGTGGAGAAGTATGAAGGAGACTCTGCTGTATGTACAGCAGCAGTGGGGCTTCTGGTGTCTCTGTGCAGCAGCACAGCACCTCCGGGGCACCCTAAACACACTCGCTCTGTCCTTAGGGGGGCCCCCCATCTATCAAGAGGGGCCCCCCTCTACCTGCAGTCCTTTGCAATTCAAGACATTCCTGCAGCCGCTGCAGCAGCAAACCGTCTCCTTGGAGTCCCAGGGTGCCCCAGGGGCCCCAGGGGCCCGGGGGCCCCCCTGCAGCAGCAAACTACTTTCTATAAACCCCACAGAAGAAGCACAAGGGGGGCCCCCGCTGCCTTTCACAGTTAAAGAGGAACGAGGGGGGACTGGGGGCCCTTCTTTGGTGTCTCCTTCTTTAATCTCAGTGTCTCCTTCTTCAGCATTTGAGGGCCCCGCATGGCTTCACTTTCCTTTTGCAGAGTCTCCTGCTGCTGAGGGCCCTGCTGCACTTGGGGGGCCCCCCAAACAGGGGGGGGGCCCCCCTCTGTTTAGGGCTAACGCTGATTTGCTGCAGCGGAGACTGCAACTGGGTGTAGGATTTATCTTTATAGAGATGCTGGGGGCCCTGCTGCGGCAGCCTCAATTAAAACATTACATAGAGTACTGCAGCAAAGGCTTCACAAGCCTACACACCTTCCTACACTTCCTCCCCCCCAAGAAGCAGCAGCAGCAACAACAGCAACTGCTGCAGCAACAGATACAGCAACAACCCAAGCAGCAACAGCTGCAACAGCAACAGCAGCAGCTGCTGCAACACCAACAGGAACAGCTGAAACAGGATCGGCAGCAGCAGCAACTGCAACAGCAGCAGCAACTGCAACAGCAGCAGCAGCAGCTGCAGCAGCAGCAGCAGCAGCTGGAGATGTTAGCTTATCGCTGCCGTGTATTAGCGAGAGAGACTCTGAAAGGTCTCTTCAGCCCTCGCCTGGTGGAGCTGGATCGGGTGCTGTCTCTTTATTTGCAAGGAGACACCTCAGGAGACACCTCAGGAGACACCTGGAGAGACGCTTGGGGGCCCCTCCTGCATGCAGAGCGGGCCCTCATTGTTTGCCGCAGCAAAACTGCTGCTTGGTGCATCAGCCGCTTCCTGCAAGCCAGAGGACTCAAGGAGACTGTCTCTAGCTGGGGTTGGTGGGAGTTTGCTGCTCCTGCTGCTGCTGCTCCTACTGCTGCTGCTGCTCCTGCTGCTCCTGCTGCTGCTGCTGCGGCTGAGGGACACCTTGAGGGCAGCCACGGGAACAGTTGTCATAGGGAGGGCCTACGTGCAAAAGGAGACAAAATGGCATCAGGCTGCTGCTGCTGCAACTGCAGCAGCAAGTGCAGCAGCAGCCGTAGCGGCAAATGCAGCAGCCACCGCAGCAGCAGCAGCAGCAGCAGCAGCTTTCCTCGAAGGCTAGTTGTCGCTGCCAGCACTAATGCTGCGCTGCAGGGGATCGGGTCCAGAGGCTGCGGAGTTGTGTTAATGGCGGAGACACCTGAGAGGGAGAACGAGTTGCTGCAGGCTGCAGCCTGCTGCAGCAGCAGCAACAGCAGCAGCAGCAGCAGCAACGGCAGTAGTAAGACCACGGAATCAGCTGAACACCCTCCTTTGCTGCTGCTGTTTGCTGCTGATGCGCCTCCTGCCGTTTGTGCTTCTTGCTGCTTCTCTTCCTGCTCGCTGCAATCTCTTGGGGGGGGCCCTTTAGGGCCCCCTCTTCGTTTCGAGCTGTCTCCTTTGCTGCAGCACATATGTTTGCTGCGAGAGTTTGCCGCTGCTTGTTGCGCACGAGCATTTGAGGAACAGCAGCAGCAGCAGCAACAACAACAACAACAACAACAACAACAGCAGCAGCAGCAGCAGCAGGATTCAGGTGTCTCCTCAACCGGCGTAGGCGTGGAGACAGCAGCAGGAGCATTCGTCCCCCCAGTACTGGCGTGGGGTTTGCTGCAGCAAATTCTTAAGGAGAGCTTCAGTGAAGCAGCAGGCAAAGCCTTTAGGGAGGCCCGAGGTGCTGCTGCAGAGGCTCTGTATGCTTTGGGGCCCCTTAAAGCAAAACGGAGACAGCTGGGGGCCCCCCTAATACTAGAACTACCACCGCTGCAGGGGTGCAGAGACACCCCAGCAGCTCCGCAGGTGCTTGAGATCACACCAGCATCAGCAGCAGCAGCAGCAGCAGCAGCAGATACAGACAGAGTAGCTGCTTGGCAGCAGCTAGCGGTGAGGGCTATAGAAAGGCTGCATGCATTAGGGGTATTAGATAATCATTTGCTGCTGAGCCCTACACTTCCTTTGCAAGAACAAGGGGGCCCCAGGGGCCCCTTAGTCTCCTTTAAGGGGCCCCCTAAAAATGCAGGAGGAGGAGACACCGTAAGGAGACAAACTGCGCGGTGTCTCCTGCCAACCCTCGAGATGCAGCAAATGCTGCTTCAACCCCACAAGTCAGACGCAGCACCAACAGCAGCAACTGCAGCAGCAACAAAGCAACAACTGCAGCAGCAACTGCAGCACCAAGAAAGCAGCAACAAAGCAGCAAGAAGGCAGCAAATCTAGCAGCAAGTGCTGCTGCAACCGATACTGCATTCAGACCTCTACCCCAGCAGCGCCACTGCCACAGCAGCCGCAGCAGCCGCTGCACCCGCAGCAGCAGCAGCTGGACCTGCAGCAGCAGCAGGAGCTGCTGCTGCTGCTACTGCAGCAGCGGAGATAAGAGGGTATACGTGTGTATGTGCGCAGGGAGCAGCAGCCTACTAAGCTGTACATACACCGCGTGTGGTGTACGCCCGTTACGTGGCAGCAAATGCAGCAGCAGCAGCAGCAGCAGATGGAGTTGCTGGAGGAAGCAGCAGCAAATGAAGAGACAAGAAGCAGCAAACACAAAGAAGATGTGCTGCTCTCTGAAAGCCCTGTCTATGATAGTGGGGGGCTCCTCGGCTACTGGACTCCCTTCAGCAGCAAACGAACAGCAGCAGCAGCAGCAGCAGCAGCAGCAGAAGCTGCTGCTGCTGCTGCTGATGATGATGACGATGGTGCAGCCGCAGACCAATCGTCCTCCTCAGCAGAAACAGAAGCAGCAGCTGCTGCTGCTGCTTCCGCTGCTGCAGCAGCAGCAGAGGCAGAAGTAGCAGAAGCAAAGGCTCTTGCTGTAGAGCTGTTCTCACGGTTATTTCCTATGAAGCCTGTCTCCTCTGTGCTGCAGGTGGGGCCCCAGGGTTTGTATAATTAATAATAAGCCCTTTTGTCTAAACTCTAAACCCTAAACCCTCACCTGTATGCACGCTGGCACAAAAGGGACGCTGCCGGTGTTGCTGCTGCTGCTGCTGCTGTTGCTGCTGCTGTTGTTGCTGTTTTTGCTGCTTATCCTGCTGCTGATGCTGTTGCTGATTTTTTTGCTGCATCTAGTGTTAGTTTGTCGCTTATGCCGCTGCCGTTTCTGTTGCTGCTTGTGCTGCTGCTGCTGCTGCTGCTGCTACTGCTGCTGCTGCTGCTGATGCAGCCACTAGCGTTGCTGCTGCCGTCTCCGCTGCCTGCTTCGATAGTGACCTACGGCGTGCACCCGCTGGGGAGTTGGGGAGGCGTCTCCTGCTGCAGCAGCGAAGCAGCAGACGAGATGTCTCCTTCAGGATGTGGAGGAGACACACTGTCTCCTTTTAGCTCAGCAGCAGCTGCAGCAGCAGCAGCAGATACGTGCATGCATGCAGCAGATACAAAAGGAAGAGAAGGCTTCATGAAAATAGAAATCGAAACCCCACAAAAAGATATGACACTCACTGTCCCCAATGCCGAGGCCCTCAAAGCACTCCTCGTACACCCCAAACCCTAAACCCTAAACCCTAAACCCTAAACCCTAAACCCTAAACCCTTTCGAAGCACCGTTTCTGGTTTAGGGACTCCTCTGTAGCGTCTGTTTCGATCATGCGGCTGGATAGCTGTGGAGGGGCCCCAGGTGTCTTTGTTTGAAGGGATTAGGGTTTAGGGTTTAGGGTTTAGGGTGTAGGGTATATGGGGGTTCGGCGGCACACTTGTTTTTGTGTTTGTTTGTTTGAGTGTCTGCATTAAATAGTTGTGAGGCCTTTATATTTATTTTATTTTATTTTTTGTGTTTTGTTTGCAGACATTTACTCATGAGTTTTTATTTAAAGCTGCAAGTGTCTCTAACTTTAATGTTGATTTAAGCGACCCTCAGCTGTCTCCTTCCTCTCTCTATCAAACTATGCTTCTATCTACTCGCTGGGGCCCCTCCCGCTGCTGCTCTGGGGGGGCCCCCTTGCATCCCCCCTCAGAGACAGCACGCGGGCATCAGCAACAGCAACAGCAACAGCAGCAACAGCAGCAACAACAGCAGCAGCAGCAGCAAGAGATGCAGGAGGTCCACGGTTTGTTGGAGACAGCAGCAGCAACAGGTGTTGCTGCTGCACTTAAAACAACCACACCTTTTGTCTCTGCTGGGGGCACTGAGAAAGGAGACAGCGCTGCTGACAGCTCCTCCGCATCACAGCAGCAGCAAGGAGACACCGCACAGCAGCAGCAGCAGCAGCAGCAACAGCAACAGCAACAACAACAGCAACAACAAGAAGGGCAGCACCATCATCATCATCATCATCATCATCATCATCAGCAGCAGCAGCAGCAGCAGCAGCTTCTTGGATTAGAAGGAGACAGTTGCTTAGAGTCTCTGCCTTTGTGCGTTGTAGCCCCTCTGGCCTGGGATGGGCGGAGCATTAACTTAGCGTTTGTCTGCACCCTCAGAGCGCTCAACTGCTACGCTATCAGCAGCAAATGGTGAGGTGCATGTACACCCAAACAGGAGACACCTCCTGCTGCACCTGCTGCTGCGCATGCTGCTGCTCCTGATGCTGTAGGCGCTCCAGATGCTGCTGATGCTGCTTATGCTGCAGATGCTGCAGCTGAGAAGCTGGCGAGTAGACAGCAGCAGCAGCAGGATCAGCCTCAGCAGCAGCACCATCAGCAACAGCAGCAGCAGCAGCAGCAGCAGCAGAAGCTGAAGAGGGGTTTCTGGTGTCTGTCTCTGTTTGCAGGCGAGCCGAAGATGCCTCTCGCTCTTTGATGGAGATGCATGAAGAGGAGACACTTCGTGAGGCTGTGAGGAGATTATCAGGGCCTTTAACAGCAATAAACATTATCAAATCTTCTCTGCTTCAACTCGACAAGGAGACTGTCTCCTCTGCTGCTGAGCAGGAAACGCTGCTGCTGAACAGCAGCAGCAACAGCAGTAACAGCAGCAGCAGCAAGAAGGGGGCCTCAGAGGGGTCCCCCCAAGCTGCTGCCTCAACCTTGTCTCCTGACGGTGAAGAGGCGCCGCTGCTGCTGGACAGCAGCAGCAGCTGTTGCAGCAACAACAGCAGCAACAGCACCAGCAACAGCAGTAGCAGCAGTAGCAGCAGCAGCAGCAGCAGCAGCACAGCTGAGTGCTCATCTCTGTCTCCTGAGGATTTGCTGTTTTCTTCGCTGTCTCCTCTTCATCGCGTCCGTCATCAGTTTCCTTTTGCTGAATTCTGTAGGGCAGGTGAGGGAAGGAGACACTGTAGCAGCAGCAGCAGCAGCAGCAACAGCCGCTGCTGCTGCTGCTGCAGCTGTTTTTTGCTGATGCTTTCCCTGAGGCCCTTCATCAACACATCCCACTTGAACAAAGTTATTACGCATTTGCTGCTGCTTTTCTTTCTGCTGCTGCTGCTGCTGCTGTTGCTGCATACGCTGCATGGATGCGGCAGGGGGGAGCGGGGAAGACAGATAAATGAAGGAGACAGCACAAGGAGACAGACACTTCACCTTCTGTCTCTCTGCGTTGTCTTTGTCTCTATCTGTATCTCTGTTGCTCTGTCTCCTTGTCTATCTGTCTCCTTATCTCTATCTCTTTATATCTATCACTTTATCTCTGTCTTCTCATCTCTATCTCTTCATATCTATCTCTTTATATCTGTCTCCTTATGTCTTTGTCGCTGTCTCCTTATCTCTATCTCTTTATATCTATCTCTTTATATCTGTCTTCTTATATCTTTATCTCCTCATCTCTTTACATCTCTCTCTCTTATTTCTTTCTATCTGTCTCCTTATGTCTTTATATCTATCTCATATCTTTATATCTACATTATATCTTTGTATCTGTCTCCTTATGTCTTTATATATCTGTCTCTTTATCTGTATCTACGAGTGCTGCAGGCGGCACAGGTGTGGGGTGTCTGTCTCCTTTGAGTGGTGCGGAGAGCTTAGATAAAGCAAAGGGCCTCTGGGTGTTTAACTGTCTCCTTCAAAGAGGGAAGGAGAGAGCTATCATTCGTCTAACGCATCAGCAGAGACGCAGCTACAGATTCGTAGCCCTACAGTCTCTTAGCTTTCATGTATACTCCTTCTGCTGCTCTTGATGCTGCTGCTGCTGCTGCTTATGCTTATGCTGATGCTGCTACTGATGCTGCTGCTGATGCTGCTGCAGATGCTGCTGCTGCAACAACATAAGGAAAAGCAGCTCGGCGTAGCAGAGAGGAGACAGTTGTTAATCAGCTGCTACGGGGTGGTTTGTATGTTTGGAAGGAGACAACTGCAGTAGCAGCAGCAGCAGCACTTAGTTTGCTGCTGCTGCTGTCTGTTTGCATGCATCTTTGTTTACTGCGTGTGGGGTGCTGCATAGGAAACCCCTTGGGGCAAGAAGCGCAGCAAAGGAGACAGCAGCAAGACTCAGCAGCTGTCTCCTTTTAGCTGCGAGTATAGACAGCAGCTTACTCAAGCTGGTGTCTGTCTCCTTCAGCCGCACCCGCACCCTCAGAGGGGCCCCAAAGGAAATTGCTTCCTGCTCAGGGGCCCCCGTCTCCGTCAGGTGATGCCTTTTAGAAGAGACACCAGCAGCAGCAGCAGCATTAGCAGCAGCAGCATTAGCAGCAGCAGCAGGAGCAGCAGCAGCAGGAGCAGGAGCACCATTAGCAGCAGCAGCAGGAGCAAGAGCAGTTGGAGCAGCAGCAGAAGCAGCAGAAAAAGCTGCTGTCTCCTTTTGCTTCTCAGGGCTGTAGGTGGCTAAAACGAGCTGAAAGGAGACACTGCAGCTCAACAGCAGCAGCAGCAACCGCAACAGCAGCAGCAGCAGCAGCAGAGACAGCATACGCCCCACAGTGCTGCCGTCTGTGCCCCTGGACAGAGCCTATCTTCCTTGTAAGCAAAATGAGACAGCAGCAGCAGCAGCAGCAGCAGCAATAGCAGGTGACGCAGCTGCTGCATCTGCTGCTGCATCTGCAGATGCAGCAGCAGGCACAACAGAAAAAGACAGCAGCAGCAGCAGCAGCAACAGAAACACACGAGCAAACGCAAGCGAAGACAGGAGCAAAACCGGCAGCAGATAGTACAGGGGGCAGCAGCAAAAGCAGCAGCACACACAAATAGAGAAAACAGCAGCAGCAGCAGCAGCAGCAGCAGCAGGCATAACAGGAGACACCATAGAAGCAGCAAGAGACAGACAAACAAAGAGAAGCCACAACAGGAGACAGAGCTGAGGCAGCAGCAAATATTGCGAGAGACAAAAGAGAAGACACAAGAGAGACAGCAGGAGACACCACAGAGACAGAAGGAGACACACGAAAGAGCGGGAGACGTAAGAGAGACAGGGAGACAAACAACAGAGGCAGCAGGAGACAGCTGGACGGCAGCAGAAGAAGAAGCGAGACGCTTTGGCTGCTGCTGTTGCTGCTGCTGCTGCGGCTGTCTCTTGAGTTGTAATCATTCCCGTATTTTTCTTGCTGCTGCTGCTGCTGCTGCTGCTGCTGCCGCTGCTCCGACTTCTGCTGCTGCTCTGCTGCGTCTGGTATTTTGCTGCTGCTGCTGCCTGGTTGCTGCCTGGTTGCCTTGCTGCTGCTGCTGCTGCTGCTGCTGCTGCAGCAACTGACATGGCTGGCGCCTGCCTTCTTCGATTTAGAGGTATCTGCTGCGCAGCTGGAGATGAGAGAATTTGTGCTGCAGGAGACAAAAATAAGGGGCCCTGACGGCCCCCTTACGCTGCGTAAGTGTCTCCTTTCTTGAGCAGCAATAATAAATAAAAGCAGCTTTTTGTCTCCTTTGTTATGATGTGCAAGCAATGCATGCATACGCATCTCCATATAAAGCTGTTTGTCTCTGACTCTGTCTCTTACTATGCTATCTACTCTCCCCTGCTGTTTTATCTCTCTTTTGTTCTGCATCTCGCGCTGTCTCTTTCTGTCTCTCTGTGCATGCGTCTGTCTCTGTCTCTGTCTCCGTCTCTGTCTCTGTCTCTGTCTCTGTCTCTGTCTCTCTCAGTCTCTGTCTCTGTCTTTGTCTCTGTCTCTGTCTCTGTCTCTGCTGTCTCTCTGGTGTGTCTCTTTGTTGTCTCTCCCTCGGTGTTTCTTTGATGTCTCTTGTTTGTCTCCTTTCTGTCTCCTTTCTGTCTCTTTATTGTCTCTTTGCTGTCTCTTCAGTGTCTCCTTTTTGTCTCTTCATTGTCTCTCTATTGTCTCCTTTGCTGTCTCCTTTTCATATCCTTGTTGTCTCCTTTTTCTCTTCAGTGTCTCCTATCCTTGTTGTCTCCTTTTTGTCTCTTCATTGTCTCCTTTTTGTCTCTTTTTTGTCTCTTTGCTGTCTCCTTTTGTCTCTCTTTTTTATCTCTTTGCTGCTTTGTTTGATGAGGGGGCAGGCGAGCCCTTATCTCTGTTTCTTTTTTGTTTCTTCTCTCTTCTTTTTAATCTTTTTATTTGTTTTATTTTGTTTATATCTTTTTGTTTTATTTTGTTTGTTTTGTTTGGCTTTGCTTTGCTCTGCTCTAGACTGTCTCCTTTTGTCTCTCCCTTTCTCTTTTGCTGTCTATCTCCTTTCGTGTGGGGCCCCTGAGGCCCCCGGGGGCCCCCCCTACATCCCCTGGGGGCCCCCCCGGGGCCTCCTGGGGCCCCCAAAATACCCTGGGGGCCCCTGGGGGCCCTCTGAGTACCCTGAGATTGCTTTGTATTGTTAGTTGTTGTATGCGTAAGCTATTTAAATATTTATTATTTATATATTTATATATTTATTATATATATATTCTTTATTAATGTATAGGTATGATTTATAAGAGCGTTATATTTTTGTTGTTTGTTTGTGTGCTGCTGTTTAGAGATAAACAAGAAGCTGAGCTTTGCTGCACTAACATGCAGAGGCTCTCGTTTAAAAGGGTCTTTAGATTATGAAGGAGACAGCTGGAATATGCAGCGGCTAGAGTTTTTAGGGGACGCAGTTTTAGGGTTTATTATATCTTCTGTTTTCTTTTTTATTAACACAAGCTTACAAGAAGAAGGGGCCCTTACACATCTTAGAAGCCTTTATGTATGTAATGCTCATCTAGCTGCAAAGGCTAAACAAATGCAAGCATCCAACTGTCTCCTTTCTAGGCCCTTCACACCCTATGCCTCTCTCCATACACTACGCAAGCAAATACTCTCAAACAAAATGCTTGCAGACGCTATGGAGGCGCAGATCGCAGCTATTTACCTTTCAAACAAACAACTCTTCACAGGGGCCCCCCAACGGGGCCCCCAGGGGGGCCCCCAGGGGGGCCCCCAGGGAGGCCCCCAGGGGGGCCCCCAGAGAGACCCCCAGGGAGGCCCCCAGGGGGGCCCCCAGGGCGGCCCCAAGGTTGGCCCCCAGGGAGGCCCCCAGGGGGGCCCCCAAGGAACCCCTGGGCCCCCAGAGGGGCCCCCAGTGGGGCCCCCAGTGGGGCCCCCAAGGTCTCCAAGGGGGCCTTCAAGATCCCCTAGGGGGCCCCCCATCAACATACCCCAGGGCAGGACAGGCATAGGTCAGGGGCCCCCTATAGCAGCTGGGGGCCCCCTGGGTTCATTCGGCGGTATGATTGCTGCTGCTGCGTTTATAGATAGATTTGTGCTGAAGGGGGGGCCCCCCAAACCCGAAGAGGGGCCCGCAACGCAGTCGGAAGAGGGGGCCCCTGAGGCAGCATTCTATGATGGGCCTCCTGCTGTTAATGTCCTCGCGTCTGCTGCTGCTGTTTGTGCTGCTGTTTGTGCTGCTGCTTCCGGAGAGGGGGCCCCCCAAAGCCACCTGGAGGCTCATACAAATAAGGAGACAGGGGCCCTAGCAGCACTGCAGCTGACTTCGCTCCCGCTTGCTGCAGCAGCAGCAGATGCCCCCCTGGTACCTGACCCTACAGTAATCTCTTTCCTGCAGTTGCTGCTGCTAGAGGGCCCCTCCTCACAAGGGGCCCCTACTTGCTGTCTCTCTGGTGCTCCTTCAGAAGCACTGTCTCCTTTTTCCTTCGGAGTGCAGGGCCCCCCACTCCCTCCAGGCAAAGCAACTCATGCTGCTGTCTCTGACATGTGGCTGGCGCCTGCTAGGGGCCCCCACGGCCCCAGAAGCTCTCGGTACCCTGGGGGCCCTCTGAGCCCTGGGGACCCTGCGGGCCCTGGGGCCCCTGGGGGCCCTGGGGGCCCTGGAGGCCCTAGGGGCCCTGGGGGCCCTGGAGGCCCTGGGGGCCCTGGAAGCCGTTTAGCCCCTGGGTATCCTAAGGGTCCTGTTGGCCTCGGGATCCCTGAGGGCCTTGAGAATCCAGGGGCCCCTGGGGCCCCTGGGGCCCCTGATGGCAATGAGGGCCCTAGAACCCCTGAGGCCCCTAGGGCCCCTGATGGCCCTGGGGCCCCTGAGGCCCCTGAGGGCCCTGAGGCCCCTGAGGGCCCTGGGGCCCCTGAGGGCCCTGGGGCCCCTGATGGCCCTGGGGCCCCTGGGGCCCCTAAGGGCAATGAGGGGTATGGGGTGTATGGGGACCCCTGGTTGTGTGGGTTGAGGGGTGATAAGGAAGAGGAGAAGGAGGAGAAGGAGACAGAAGATGCTGCAGATTTGTTTTGGAGACAGCGTAAAATTATATCTGTTTTAATAAGAAGAGCGAGGACAGCTCAGGTGTGGGGTTGTGAAGATAGCTTTTGTTTAAGTGTATAGACAGAAACAATGCATGCAGTTATAGCTGTCTCTTCTTCTCTAATTTCGTGTCTCCTGCTCTTTTCTGCTTCTCCTCTTTGCTGCATTACTCTTCTTTGTGTCTCCTTTTAGCTGTCTCCTTCGTCTCCTCTGCACGTTCGTCTTCTTCTCTTTTCTGTCTCTTTTAGTTGTCTCTTGCTGCAGCTTCATACTCTGCAGTGCATCTTCTTATCTGTGTCTGTGTCTGCTGCTGCTGCTGCTGCTGCAGTGCCCCTGCTTTTCTGTGTCTGCTGCTGCTGCTGCTGCTGCATTGTCTCCTCTTGTCTTTATCTGCTGCTACTGCTGCTGATGCTGTTGCTTGTGATGATTGTCTCTGCCGCCTCTAGATGACTTCTTATCTGTGCCCGCTGCCCCTGCTGCTGCTGCTGCTGCTGCTGCTGTGCCTCCGCTACTACTGCTCTGCTGCTACTACTGCTGCGGGGTCTGCTACGACTGCAACTGCTGCTGCTGCTGCTTCTGCTGCTGCTGCTGCTGCTGTCTGCTTGCAGGCGTCTGGAGGGCCTTTTGAAACATATCAATTGCTAGAGTTTTTAGGAGACTCTGCTTTGTGTTTTGTTGTGACAGAGTGGCTTTACTGTCTCTTTACTGCAGCAAGAGAGGGTCCCTTATCTGCAGCAAGAAGCATATTACTATCAAACTCTTTTCTAGGGGCTAAGCTGCTGCGCAGGTCTCTCTGTCTCCTCCGTTTATGCTTTGTTTATTACTTCTTTAAATATATACATTTATATATATATATATATTTATTTACTTGAATAGATATATAGATTATTTAAACATAAAGAGAGACAGAGATAGATATGCTATTATTTATTTATCTGTCTCTCTCTTTATTTTTGCTG